GTAGCCAATCCTAATGAGTTTCTGCTGTTGGGTGTGGCCTATTATGCTAATGAGTTCCTGCTAGGTGTGGCCAACTTGGAAGCCATCCGGAACTCCGTTCCTGTGCGTTCCTGCCCAAAAATAGCCCTGGGTGTGATATGCAGAGGGGAAGTAGGCATGGGGATATCAGCATTGGTAATGAGACAAGAAACCTAGGTATCAATTCCATCCAGGAGGATTCAGTCCAAGAGAATAGAGGTAAGTTTGACATTAGAAACCAGAACATTCAGTTGCTGACCAAAGAGTAGCGGTGCTCTTACAAAGGAATTTCAAAGGGAGATTAGAAAGACAGACTGCTGAATTGCAATTGATAATGAAGCTCAAGATAATACATCCTCTTGGACTGAATTGAGACCTAGTTTTCCTGTCTCATTACCAATGTGTGCTTTTATCATTTGGCATCTGAAATCACTCCACTCTCCAAGATATAAGGACCAATCCAAGTGTTCTAATTCCTAATCGGGGTCTTTTTGAAAGAAAATAAATCCAGATAGGGACAGAGAAATCCAATCATTTTTTTTAAAAAAACAGCTTTTCAGAATAAGCAAAAACAATTTCCTCATTGTACATCATGCTTGTCAGAGGAATCTACCCACCCACCCTTCCTCCCTTGCACACAAAAGCTTACACCTGGAATAAAACGCTGTTGGTCTTAAAGCTGGGACTCCAAATTTATTTTTTCTCTTTCTTTTTCTTCCTCCTCCCTTCCCACCAAAAGTGGAGGAGCAGCCCCAGAACAGAAAGCAGAAGCTAGTTGTGTGTGAGAGAGAGAGAGGAGAGGGAGAGGCAGGCAGGCAGGCTTGTCTTTGTATCTCTCTGGCATGAAGCAGCCACGAGACTCTCTCTATCCCCATGTGTGTATGTGAGTGAGAGAGCAAGGGAGGGAGGCAGGAGGCAGGAAACAGGAAGAAAAGACCCACTGGGAAAGCTGGGAAAAAAGTAAGCTAGGGTGCAGCTGCAGCAACCGCCCAGGGAAAGGAAGTTGCTTTGGGGCCGGTTTTGAGGTCTGTGCGGGCCAGATGTGGCCCATGGGCCATATGTTTGACACCCCTGCTTTAGATATTATAGGTTTTCACTAACTCCTAAAGTGTCTAAGCTTCTCCCTTTTATCACAGACCAGGGTTCTCTTCCCAACTCCTTTCACTGGCAGAAATAACTGACTCCCAAAGTCTCTTCCCTCAGAAGCCAAACCCTTTGGCTACTGATCGAGATAACAGATTTTAGAGAAAGACTAAAAGGCAAATGAACCTTTTCCCTCCAGATCAGCTGTTTTATCTCCTCTCTCGGCTGATGCTGGCCAATCAGAGAGTGAGTACAGCTACTTAAAATGGTGGTGTGACAGATTGCACAGAAAAGCAGGTTGGGACAGAGAATCTTCCCTGGAGAGAAGAGCTTATGTGATTGGCTGCTGTACTAAGAATGCTTTCCTGGATGTAAGGCCTACTGAATAAAAGCAGGCTTACTTCTGAGCAGACTAGTAGAACATTGTTCCTGCTTTAAAAGCAACAACAACAACAACAACACTTCAGGTCTAATTTCTGAGAGGGAATGTTTCCAGTGGCCTATCAGTAATGGTGGCTGATTACCAGTACAACCCCAAGCAGAGTTATGCATTTCTAAATCCACTGTGGGCTTAGAAGGGTGTAACTCTGTTGAGGATTTGGGTTGTCACATAGAGGCTTAATGTGTCTGAATGGCCAGCTGAAACTTTTCATGGCATAGAGGTAAATAATATCGCCTGGTAAACACTGGCCCGTTAAGCCTCTATAAAATATGCAGGACATTTTTTTCTTGGACAGCTGGTAACCCTATGGATTGTGCTTTACAAATCTCCATTACTGTTTATTTGTGGGCCAAAGTACTTGCAACACTGAGAGATTTGTTAAGAGCTTCCCAGAAATTTTAAAAAGGGAAAGA